CAATAATGTGCAGCCGCTGCCCGGGCACCTGGCCCCGGGCATCCTGCTGGTGTAGACGGGCCACCCCTCCCTGCAACGTCTCGCCTCCCTTGGCCAGAACGGGGCCGTGGAGCGAGGATTTCTGGCCAGGCATGAAGCCACACTGCTACTCCAAGCCAGCCTCTGTCAACGAGAGGTTCCAAGTGTTTGTCCCCGTCTCCCTGGCTCTGCGAGCCCCTCCAACTGCAACATCGTTACTCCCATTTTACAGATGAGAAAACCCAGACAAAGTAGGTCATGGAGATAACTAATGTGTGGGATTTGAACCCAGGCTGGCAGTTCCAGAGCCCAGTTTATTAACCACTGGGTAGTTATCCCTCCCTGCTGTCAGCATCAGCCCGGGACTGGAGCCCCCAGGCTCGGCCTAGAGGCAGCCATGCCGCCTCTCCAAGCTTGTCTCCTGGTAGCCACAGCCTCGACGTCATTATGTCTGTTTCTGGGCTAAAGAAACAAGATTTTCAGGGAAAAGCTAAAGGTTTCAGAACGCGTCTCCCTGGCTCCCCGGACGTCTCTCTTCATTGACGTGTGTTCTGTGAGCTTCTGTTCAGAGATCACCATGAGTGAGTGAAGGTTAGAGATGAAGTGACACTGTCTCACTGTGAAGCTAACCCCTTTCAACTTGGTTGGCAATAGGCAGACACAGCAAGGGGGTCTGTGAGGAGGCCACTGGGGGCTGCGACCGGAAGCCGGCCACCTCTGCCCCGCGATTCCCAAGTTCACCCTGCATGAACCTCCTGCATTCATCTCCCAGGGCCCCCCTGACAAACGACACACATGGTGGCTTGAATCAACAGAACCACCTTCTCTCGCGGTTCTGGAGGCAGAAGTCCAAAGTCAGGGTGTCAGCAGGGCCGCATTCTCGCTGAAGGCTCGCAGCAGATCCTGGCCTCCCACCCCTTGTGGCTCGAGGTGTCCCCAGGCCTGTGGCATCGTCACTCAGGCTCTGCCCCAGACTTCACACGGCCTTTCCTCCACGTCTTCCCTCTGACTCTTTCGAGGACCCACCCAGTTAATCAGTGTGATCTCATCTTGAGATTCTTAACGTAAGTACCTCTGCAGAGACCCTTTCCCCAAATAACGTCACATTTGCAGGTTCCAGGGGTGAGGACGTGGATGTATCTTTGTGGAGGCCACACCCGCTCCATTGCAGCCGTCCAGAAAGGGAGGAGAGCGTGGGGACGCCACAGCTGGCTGTGTCCCCAGCTCCATGAGCACACAATCCTCCACCTGCTTAGTGGCCGGAGCCCAGTCGCAGGGGCTGGAACTGCAGTGAAGCTGCATGTCTGGGACAAAGAGAAAACGACGCTTGCGGAGCTCCTTTAGTTGTGCAGATTTCTCATCTCTCCGGGTCTTTATCAGTCAGTCCTCGCAGCTCCTGGCAACAACTTAGTCGACGGAGCTGTCCATGGGAGAAACACAAACCTGCCTGTGCCAGGGCCATCCCAGCTCCCACACCTGGTGGCGGGATTGTGGGGCTGACACAGGGACTCTGTGCTGCAGGAGGCACGTGTGGGCACGTGTGGGCACGTGTGGGCCCTTGTGTGCCCCAGGGGAACGCGCTGTGAATCGCAGCGCCGGGTTCTAGATGCGGCTCTGGTGGCACAGCAGCTCTGGTCCTGCAGTCATCGTGCCAGCGTGGCCGTGTCTTTGACGACATGTGCACCTTCATGCTGTGTTCATGCTGCAGAGCTCCAGGACGACGGTGAATTCAGACGCCTGAACGCTCCTAAGCTGAACGTTGGGACGTGAAGATCTTCAGCGGCGGCTGTCAGGGCCGTGCTGGAAAGCGACCGTGACAAGGCGGCCCTTTGCCAGCTGAGCCATGCATCAGTCCTAAGACCATCTCAGCAGCTCCAGAGGAAACGCTGGCCGTCCTGTGAGACGTGCCCACCTTCCTGGAACTGCCCTTCAAAGCACCTGCCTCCCTCGATCGGTGCGTGAGCTCCAGCTGGATGGCAGAAAATATGTTCCCTCCCCGGCAAAGCACACGTCACCTTCCTCTGACATCCAAAGTCCCCCCACCTCTCATCCAACCATCCCTGAGTTTGCACTCTGAGGCTAAATTCCAGGACTCTCGTTTTTTCTTAGTTCTCACGGATGTTGAGCTACAACGTATTATGACCTTTGAGGGGCATTTTCACATTTCGGGTGTGAGCCAGCGTGATGGGGTCTGGGACCTGCCTTACCCTTTCATCCTCCACGACTGGGAAAACGAGACAGTGTATGAAACAGCGCTGCTCAGATGCTGATCGTGGTCTTGCAGGGTCCCAGAGGGAGCGGCGCAGGCAGGGGGCACACCCAGAGCCAGCCACCCTGGGTGGGGAACGCCCAGGAGGCCAGAGCCGGGGGCAGAGTAGAGAGGAGAGGTCTGCAGAGATCACTCGTTTCTGTAGCTGGTCAGCTCATCCCAGAAAGGAGTGGACAGAGCAACCCTCAGAGCTCAGAGGGTCGGGAGCGAGTGCACGTCCTCCAGCCAGATGGACAGACTCGGGACAAGCCCCACAGGGCTAGACTTGCAGATAAATGAACAGAGGAACAAGGCACCTCGACCCTGAGCCCCCCCTGTGACGGGGTCACCAATGCGTCGGCACGTGCAGCATCTGTGAGCCCATCCGAGCAGCCAGGACGCCTCTGATCGTACTGCGACTTTCAGAACTGCATGGGGAGCGGCCGTGCCACCCACAATCCCGCACACAGATGTCCACAGCAGCTTTGCTCATGGTGCCAGAACCCGGAGCAACCCGGACACCCTCAGCAAGTGAACGGCTGAGTAGACAGCACTAAAGACAAACGAGCAGCTGTCCAGTCATGAAAAGACGCGGAGGAAACTGAAAGGCATGTTCTAAGTGAAGGGAGCCAGTCTGCCAAGGCTGCGCCCCGCAGGATTCCAACTATAGGACATTCTGGAAAAGGCAAAACCATGGAGACGGTGAAAAGATCAGCAGTTTCTACAGGTTTAGGGGAGGGCGGGATGAACTGGGGGAGCACAGAGGATTTTTAGGGCAGTGAAACTACTCTGTATGACACTTGTCATTACACATTTGACCAAACCCACAGAACGTACAGCACCAGGAGTGAATCCTGATGTAAACTGTGACTCCGGCTGACAATGGCGTGTCAGCGCAGGTTCATCAGTTGTGGCAAATGCACCTCTCTGGGGGAAGGTGGGGTGTTAATAGTGGGGGAGGCTGTGGGAGAGGGATCAGGGGTGTGTGGAAAACCTCCGGACCTTCCGCCTAATTTTTTTTTCCTTTTTGTCTTTTTTACTGACCAGTAATGGGATCGCAACCCTCGGTGTCGCGTCCGTACCGGGGACCGGCAACAGGATCGCAATCCTCGGTGTTGTGCCCGCACCGTGCTCAGCCAGTGAGCGGGAACCGGTCTCCACATGGGATCCAAACCCTCGGCGGGAGCGCCACCACGCTCCCAAGCGGCGCACTCTCCAGTGCGCCAGCGGGCCGGCCCCCTTCCACCTAATTTTGCCATGAACCCAAAACTACCCTAAAAAACAAAGTCTGTTAAAAAAAAAAAAATGACAAGATGACTTTCAAGTCCATTGAATCTGTGGATTCAATGTCCTCCCAAACTCATTGACGCTTACATTGTGTCCCCAAAATTCCAGGTATTAGAAACGTGGCCCCACTGTAACCAATGAGGCTAGGAAATCTGATTACGGTCATTGAAAGGTGGGGCCTTGAAGAGGTGATTAGAGTCTAGGACCGTGCGGTAGTGAATGGATTAACAACAGTGGTCGGGGCTCGGTTCTGAAGGCCTTAGAAGGAGAGCACGTGAGAAACTCTCTCTCTGCTCTGCCATTTTCTGCCATGTGAGACCCCTGCATTGCTGTAAAGCCACCACCAAGAAGACCCTCACCAGATGTGTTCCCTGGACTTTGGACTTCTCAGCCTCTGAAACTGTGAGCAATAAATTTCATTTTCTTTATACAGTTCCATGGGTTTTGTTATAAGCAACAGAAATAAACTAATACACATGACCTGCTATCCAGAACCTTCAGTCCCTGCTTTAGCCATCAGAACTTCCTCTAATTCGGAAGGGCAGAGTGGCTTATGTCCTATAGAGCCTGCTATGTCCCGGGGTCTGGAACAGCACATACGTCTTTGTGCTGCAAATTCAGGAACATTCCCACCATCGACTTTAATCACGGGAAGATTTCCAACAGCCTCACCTCCGTTCAGGTTGGGTTGGCAGCCGAATGAGCAGCAAACATCCCTCTTGTCTGTGCTCGTGAATTTCCTCGGGCCACGCGGCATCCCCTGGCTGTGGTCGCTGCAGGCCTGTGCCCAGCCGACGTCTCGACTGGAAGTGATTTCAGCTCAACTGGAGTGATCACCGGGTCCTGTGGACAAGCCCCGGCCAGCCCGGAGGACTTCAGTGAAGTGTGTTTGAGAGAAACAGAGCCCTAGATTCACATTTTCTGTCACATAGTTTGCGAAATGTAGGTATTTTGTATCCCTGTAACATCCCAGAGGCCTGCGCTGACCTGGCTTGCTGTTTGTGACTCTGCCCTGAAATATGGCCAAGGACGGGGAGACGGCAGCTGTGTCCCCACCCAGAGCTGGCCACATGGGAGAAGTTGGCCAGTCCACTGACAACCGCCTTTCAAAATAAAGCAGAAAACGCGGATGATCTGCTTCTCCATCGTGGGGCAGCGCTGTCTCAGGTCACCACAGGCAACTTCAAGGTCACGGTTCCCATCTCAGGATGACCCTACTAGCAGTGACCCCAGGAGCCACAATGAACCAAGGCTCTTGGAGAACTGGACGTCACTGTTCCAAGTGCAACCCTTTGGCCAGCAACAGAGCCCGGGAGCTTGTTGGGACGCGAACCTCAGCCCGCCCAGACCTACGGAGCCCGTCTCTGTTTTTACGGGAAGCCAGGAATGCACATCGGAGGGCAGGTGGCTGTTGGCTCCCACGGGGTCCCTGGTGCTGGTCCCTGGCAGTACCTCACGACTGTTTGTTAAAGGAAAGGAGACGTGTGCTGGGAGCTGGAAACGCAGCTCTGGATCCAGCTGTCCACACACCCAGTGTTTCCTGTTCACAGCTGCTTTAGGAACTACGGGGAATGGCGCAGTTACAGTTGTTAGAGATGTGCCCTCCCCTGAGAGCTGTGTCCTCCACTCATCAAGGGTGGGATCTGACCGACTGGGGCCACCGCCCACTGGAAGCCTGCACTGGAGCAGAGAAAGCACAGCAGAGACAGTGGCGCCTCCCGAATGCCTCGTGCACCCCTGGGCCTCCTGTGAAAATGGGGACTCTAGCTCACTAGGTCTGAGCGGGGCTGAAGTTCATGTCCCCGGGCTCTGCTGCTTGGCAAAGGGCCTCACTTTGAACAGCCAGACTGCAAAGTACATCTGGTCCCTACGTCCTGTTCTGCCAAGAGACCTGGCATCCCACAGTCATTTCGGGGGAAGCTGTGTGCCAGCCCTTTTAGGGCAGAACAAACCAGGGGTGCTGACAGTGGGCTGAAGGGCAGGCCCGGGTACAGCTGGTGACGGCAGGTCAGGACAAAGCCACCCTAGGTGCTGCCGTGGCCAGCAGGGGAGGTCTGTGCACCTGACCAGGCTCCTCTGCTCTCTGGAGGGAGGGGACAGGCCACACACATTAGAGCTGCAAAGTGTCCGTGATCGTGTGACCCTATGTCCAGGGGTCCCTGTGCAGCTGATCTGGGGAAGGGGGTAGGAGGAGGAGGAAGGAACCTGGAACTCCGAAGTATCCACAGCAGAAATCTTCACCTCCAGCTTTAAAAGCATGGGGGGGGGGGTGCTCCTGTAGCCCAGAGGGGCTGCAGACGTCCGAAGCCCCCCGGCCTCTCACCTCCTCTGCTCCCCTGGGGGCAGGCCTGTGCTCGTCTGGGCAGCGTCCTCCTGAGGGCGTGTCAGGAACAGCAGCCCCTGAAGCTGATGTCTCAGGGAAGTCATTGGGGAGCAGCTTTCGAGGACACTGGAAAGCGCCCCTGAGTGCCTGTCAAGGTTGCTGCGACAGACGGCCTCAAACTCAGTGGCTTAAAACAAGGACCCTTCTGATTACATGCGGAGCCCACCAGATGTTCCAGGGTGACCTGCCCATCTCAAGTCCTTAATGCGTTACATCTGCAGAGTCCCATTGCCATGTAAGGTGACATGCACGGGTCGCAGGGATTCGGACCTGCACATCTTTGGGGGCCGTCGTTCAGGCCACCGCAGATGCCCGCGGGTACACGCCTGCATTCCCCTGCTCCTCCGTAGAGGAGGGTGGAGGCCAGGGTCTCTTTCCATGGTGGTTTTCATTCCTTTGTGCATCCAGCATCTTTCCTTTTACGAATAAGGGCCACGAGGCCCAGAGAGGCTGAGCAGTTGCTTCCAGTCACACAGCAGTAAGTGGTGGAGCTGGGCTCTACCCGGGCCCTTGTGACCCACCAGGTCACCTGGCATGTGCCCGGCACACGGAGCAAGAGCCTGGCCAGCCCGGGCCACACCGGCAGCGGTGGGAAGGACGGCGGAGCCGGGGAGACGTGCTCAAGATTAGAGGGAGACGCTGGGAATGGGAGGGGAGAGGCCACGATCGGAAGGGCGTCGCGGCTGTTTCCTGCGCTGGGGCCTCTACCTGTCCCCACCATGCTGTGTCAGACCCCCACGCCTGCAGGGAGAGTGGCCCTGTCTGGGGGAGGCTGAGGCCTGGGCCTGAGTGGGCAGGGCCATCGCGGCACCAGCACTGCAGGGACAGTTCCGCTCAAGCCCGGAGACCGCACCCAGCGGGGAACTTAGAGCCCCTGCCCCACCCTGGCCACTGCTGCACACCCGCGCAGCTCTCTTTGTGGCTGTCGAGGGCCAACACTCTGTGTTGCCGACTCGGTTCCATATCTATGGCAGGGAGGGAGGTCGTTGTCATCAGCCCGCAGCTGGGGCTGTGGGACGCCCACCCCTCCTCGGCCGCACCCACGATCTCGAGGCTGCGGGTCTGATCCCACTGAGAGGGGACAAGCAGAGACACTCGAGAGATGGAAAGGGATTTGCAGATACTGATTTGTGACAATTTATTTCTCTGTCTTCCTCCCCTGGGCACAATATGGGTGGCAGCGCGACCCTGTGCCGCCAGGTGGGAGATGTGCCTGTCTGCCTGCTCCTTTGCCAGGGCCGTGTGATGCACGTGGCCGCTGCTGCTTATGGACAGAAGCGTCCAGAGAAACACATCACCTAAAACTTCCCTGAAGAACTGCTGGGCACCAGCCCCGGGCCCTCCGGGAAATTCCAACCAAAGTCCTCGAAAGCACTTTCGACTGCACAGTCAGCGAAATTGCATGTGTCTGCTCTGCCCCTAAGTGAAAGACGTAGTTTCTATTTTGGTTTATTGTTGCAAGACATTTATTGCTCCCACAAGGGATAATCAGCCCTGGCGTCATATTCTAACATAAATTCAGGCGCAGTGTCTTTCGTGATACGTTTTTTTAAAAATCACAAGTTAAATGGGAGAGAAAAGCTAAGGTATTTAGGAAACTACAGGAAGCTCATAGTTTTACGTTCAGTAAGCTAAATATAAACCCAAGGCAATGAAAAAGTGTATATTTTAATTGGAAAACCCCATTTCTGTTCTCATTTTAAGAGGGAACCTGTTCTGGTGTCAGACAAGCTTGTCTGTTGGAACTCTGCAGGGAACAGCAGTCCTGACCCCTTTCCAGACACAAGCCAGCAGCCCGGGCGGCCAGTGCGTGCCGAGGAAGGACACCACGTTGACCGGTGGGAGGAAAGATGCAGACGTGGTGGCAGACGGCTGGCCGTGCCAGGTTTCACACGCAGCGGCCTGGCAGCGCCCGCGCTCACGCCGCGCTCAGCGGGTTGGCCACGCGGCCCAGGAAGTGCAGGGCGGTGGACTCTCGCTCGTGCACGGCGAACAGGAACGGGCTGTCCAGGGTCACCTCCAGGGCCACGGGCCCGGCGGGCTGCTGGACAGACTCTGTGGGCTGCTCTCCCTCGTCCGCCATGAGCTCAAACAGGACACTGTTCAGCACCTGCAAAGCAGTGGGCGTGGGATCCTTGCCGAGGGCGCCCGCACAGGCAACGGCTGGCTGCGGCTGTGCCCTGCTGTCCTGCAGCAGCACGTCTGTCCAGCTGCCTGGGACAGTGCCCCGTACACGCCTGCCCTTCAGTGCAGACGTGGGTGTGGCTGTGGAGACCACTCTCAGCCATCCAGCGTGGCCCGACCCCCGCACGTGCCTCACACTGTCCCGTCTCCAGCCTCCCCCCTCCCCAGCTCAGCTAACTCAGCACAGGGGCTCACATCCCCACGGTGGCCCCATTGTGGCCCCAGCACTTAGCACAGAGCCTGAGCATCCAGGTGCATCACTGCACATGGCCGCGGATGGTCTGTCCACTGCCCAGCGTCTCCCTGGGTGGGGAGCAGCATGACAGGCCCAGGCCGTGGTCCTGCCCTTCCTCCCAGACCTGACCCTGCTGCAGCGTCTGGGTGGACCTGAGCCCAGGCCAAGCCGAGAGCACCATGACACACGCCTGCCACGGGAGGAGGCAGAGCAGGCCCGGGGAGGGGACTCTGCAGGCCTCCTGTCCCTGGAAGCCCTAGATGCTCGGCCACTCCTTGCCCACCCTCAGCCCACCCCACCCGGCCCTACTCTGCTCTCCCTCCTCACCACGGGCCCCACTCTCCCCGCGGAACACACGGAACCCAGGGCAGACACCAGCCCGGCCCGCGCAGTACCTGGCCCACTCGGAGGTCGGCGTCATCACTGATTCTGCCCAGGTTCGCCTTGGTGCCCAGCAGGGTGGGCAGCTTGGCCTGGGCGAGCAGGTCCTGCAGGTCATAGGAGCCTCGCAGCACCAGCTGGGGCATGGTCAGGCGGATGGCCCTGGGGAGGTGACGCACGGTTAGGAAGGATCTGGCCGGGCTCCCTCTGAGAGGCTCCAGGCCTCATGCAAGGGCTCCCCAGGAAGCCAGGTGGCCGCGTGCCCCCTGCACCTGTCCCCGAGGGAGGGGGTGCCTGCCCCTCTCCCAGCTAGGTCTCTCGTGTCCTCTAGAATGCCACAAGGAGGAAGCGGGACGTTCATCAGCAATGATCTTGGGTGACCGGCTGTGAAGAGCTGTCTGTTCTTTGTTCCCTTCTGTTTTCAGGTTGGCTGAATTGAGGTGAGTGACCTGATAATTTAAAAATGCTGTTCCTCAAACAATGCCCGGGTCTTACTAGAGACCTCCCAGGGATGCTCCTGATGATGTGATGCCCACGGAAGGGAGGTGGCACGTACAGTGTCGGCCTCTGTGCTGGGCACACCACACACTCCAACACCACGCTCACCAACACCACACTCACCAACACCACGCTCACCAACACCACGCTCACCAACACCACACACCCCAACACCACGCTCACCAGCACCACGCACTCCAACACCACGCTCACCAGTACCACGCACTCCAACACCACACTCACCAACACCACACACCCCAACACCACGCTCACCAGCACCACACTCACCAACACCACAC